TGAAGAAATACATTTGTATTCCTATTAAATTTTATTATGTTCAGTAAAAAGATTGATTTCACAACCTTCTAATGTTTGATAAATAAATAAATATTTTAAAAAATTTTAAATTTAAAAAATCACGTGAAATTCGATAAGTCGGTTTTCTCGATAACACATGCACATATCTTCCTCCACGAACCTTCCCATGGTTTGAAGTATCATGTTGGTGTCAAATCTCGATACTAAAGAGTCCGAATTTTTAAAGTACAATTTCGAGCTCTAGTTTTATTTGGTTTGGATACAATTAACAAAAGGCGGATCATCTAATCTCCAGCATTGACATGGGTGATAGCAATAATCAACTCCGGTCAGATTTGAACTCGCCTTTAAACTTTTTTTTAAAGGCAATGAATGATTATTCTCATGAATCAAAATCCAAACATTTAAAAAAACATTTCCGATAACAAGCATCTTGAAATTTAACTTTCCCAAAAATTATGTTTTAAAAAATGTGCACTTGGCTACTCAGCATTCACCATTCTATACAATGCTTTTACTTTCGTGAAACAGCAAAATCGAGTTGACAAAAAACTTCACTATCTATATAAAAATATTGGTAAAAAATATTTATTTTTTTGCGACACATTACTAAATTCAATCACTTAAATTTAATTATTCAATCTCGTGCTAAATTCAAAATTTATTTATTATTTAAATACAATTTAAGCGATCAAAAACTTCTTGGCACCCGTGATGTAATATTTGTTATACAAATAAAAAGGTAGATCATTACTTTTCTCTCACGAATAATAATTAAAGATGACTGATAACTTGGTTCAAAATAAGTTTAATACTTTACACGTAGTAACCATCTTGTGTGAGCCACATTTGTCATTTTTAAAGATGCCTGAAATTTTCGTATTGTTTCTCAGTGTTCAAAAAAGCATCTAGAACCATCAAAAATCAAGTAAATAAATTGATTTTTACAAATCAACATTCTGGACAACGCCATGTTTATGGTTATTTTGTTTACACGCATAAAACAATCAATAAAACTTTAGTTATGATGTTTATTATGTTTTTCATTAATTTTTTAAAAACATTAAATCTTGGATATCAACCACCTTCAAGAAAAGCGATATAGACGAAAATGGCTTATTTTATTTACCAATTAGATGATGAATAATAATGTTTTAATAATAATAATGTTTTTAATATGAATAGATAGTTGGTCTACCTGCATCGTGGTTATATTGCAACATTGTGTATATAATATGTAAAGTTACGGGTATGTTGCGCACGCATAAAATTTTTTTTTTGACAAATTCATATTAATGTTAATATTCATGAAAAAATTTATTATTTAATACTAAATTATGATCACTATATCGAGCTCTAGTTAATATAATGGGTACCAATAAACTTCGCTATATGATTATATCGAGTTATATTAAAAATGACTATATCGAGCAGAATTTATATGTAATGAAATGGGAAATTTTCCAACTTCACTATATCGTACGATTTACTATATAGTATGTTCATTATATTGCCAATTGTATTTTTTGATGATTATTCTTCGAAATATACAATGTTTAAACAATTTCCGTTGCACTATTTAATTCCGTTGTGTTAAAAAAATGAGTTCTCGGCCACTCAGAATTCAGCGTTCATCATTCACTCATCATTCATCGAATATTGAATATTGAGTATTTCTATGCTTTTTATTTTCGTGAAATAGCAAAATCCTTTATTGGTGATCATTCTCGAAATATACAAACAGTTTTTTCCCAAGATATACAATTTCCATTGCACTAATTTAACTCAATTGTTAATAACATGACATTTTTTTCAAAAATGTACAAGTGACACACTTTCAAAACAATTCTCTTGAATAAAAGAAAATAACAATTAACACTCAAATAATTAAATTAATACTCAAAACTATTTGTCTCCACATAAAACAATTTTGAAGAAAATTTTTAGCAACTAAATTACATATATGCATTTATGATCGTTGTAATAATTGAATATCCTGTTAATACATATTAAAGATATATGTGTGTGTGTGTGTTTAAATAGCTCTTGTATCCTTAATTGATAAACACTATAATAAATAAAATAATAATATTTACAAGTGAGAGTTTATCTTCCATCACAGATTGCCTTCTCCTATCTTTCTCTCTCTTCTATAACAAACCATTATTATTAATATTACTGTTGTTACTGTTGTTGTTGTTATTATTAATATTTAAAAGTTTTATTTTTATATTATGAATGATTAAAATTAAAATGCTTACCCATTCTAAACCATCATCTAATAATAACTGTGATGATTGTGATCAAAGAGAATGATCAAGAAGGTATAACGTTAATAAATGTTTCTGTATTTGGGGAGAAAAATAATAGGTGTGATTATTGTTTGGAGGTTTATAAAAAGGGTGTTTTCTCGAATATAAAATTCTACTAGTTGGTCAAAAATTTCTTTAGTCGACTAAACTTTTTTCTTTATAATAATAATATTTCTTTTTTTTTTTTTTTAATTTGCAAATTACGAATTCATTTCCATTGAATCTTTCACTTTTTCAAAATACTTACACAGAAAACCATGCGTTACGATTCGTTTTTTTAAAGGTCTTCTGGAACCACCGCTTAAATCATTGGAACTTGAAGCCAATGAACTATTGGACCTTGTATTGGAAGTGTTTATTCATTCCCATGTAAAATTATCATCAACAACACACTGCTATTGTCATCATCATCATATTGATGGTATTGATACTCTTCCGAATAGAAATTTTCCATTTTGAATGATAAAAACACAAAAATCGTAATTGGTCAGACAATAATAATATTAGCATAGTATTAGTATTAGTATTAGTATTAGTATTAGTATTAGTAATATTAGTAGTCGACTTTTTACCCGCAGCCACACATTCTAAAATTCGAATCATATGTTTCACAACGTATTAAGTATAAAACAACCAACAAATACGAAAAAAAAACAGTATAAAGGTTATTATTGTCTTTGCGCCAATTTTTCACTGTGCATAACGTTAATTAATTATTTATTTATTATTATTTTTGATTTTTCCAATCGGCAATGACACTATCAATTAACAATTAACAAGATTGTTTCGTGTAAGATCAATCTTTTATCAATTTATTTATTTATTTTTATCTATCAATTTAAATTAGAACAGGTATAGCCACACACGTCATCATTACCCAGGCTTCTTTGAAAAGATGAAAATGAGGTCCCAGCATTTACCAATCATTATGTAAATAGTTGTGTAAAAACCCTTTCCAACATCATCTTTTGTTAAAAAAGAATATTTTCTTGAAACGTAAACCAAAAACTAAAAATGTCTTCAATTGTAAATAAATTTTTCTCGCTAGTGATAATTATTGTAAAAATTATTCAATTATTACCACCGATGATTATTAATTTTGTGTCTTTTTAAATACCAGGAACCTCAACAAGTCGGAGTTCTTGAAAGTTCAAATAATAGCGGATATTATATTTCACATCAATACTTCCTTGGGCTTATCCGTCGAGTAGATCCATCTCTTGTCCTTGATTTCATGTTTACGATAGTCCCTGGTTTGAATGGTGATGGTATCAGCTTTGAAAGCACAAACTATCCAGGTCAATATTTAAGACAACAAGATTTTTGTATCAAGCTTGCCAAAAGCAATGGTTCAAGTGTATTCAAGCAAGATGCCTCTTTCGTCATTGTCTCAGGTATTATTATGGTATTCTTTTGTTTGATATTATGTGTTAATTAAATTCAAATGTCTCTTGACAAATCAAACATTTATGAAAAACCATTTAGGTGATAATGGTGGTGTTTGCTTCCAGAGTGTCAACTATCCGGATTACTTTATTAGACATTGGGCTAATAATGAGTTGTGGATTGACCCTAAAACAACCGATTATCGCTATAAAAAAGATAGTACCTTCAAGTATCGCAAAGTTTTTCAATTGTAAATTCATAAATTTGTTTTTTTTATATATATATATATACAAGTTTTTTAAAACCTTGCATACTTTGCTTAGCGTAAATACAATAAATTTGTGATAATAAAATTTTGATAATCAAAAGTCTATTACTTTTATTAATATCCAGTCCATAGTATTTCTATTAATTTGGTATCTATTAATACCGACCTATGATTTTCACGTCCGAAGGAAACATAAAAAAATCTCATTACCCTAGGTATATCTATCATACAACTGATTTATCTCACCATGCCGTAATATCAATGGTGATACAAAGTTTCACCTATCTTGATGTTTTTTCTGACTTCGATTATATATGCAAGGAGGCACTATCAAAGCATATTCACTTACCTTGGCCCTAGTAAAATTTTAACTAGGGACAAATGTGTCTCATCAAAGTATCCTAATACATCATATTTGTTATCCAGAATGCAGTTAAAATGGATTTGGATGTGTCCCAGAAGAAATCCTGTTCTGGTTTCGTCCTAGTAAAAAGAGGTTGACTGGAACAGATTGTATTATAGAAGAAAGTAAAATAGGTTTATATTATTTAATTACTTTTTTAACTTGTTCTTTTATACTTGTACTAATTGTCCTATCAAAAACTAAAAGTCTAGGGAAAAAATGAAACTCGTTCCCCATGATACCTATTATTAATACTAAAATCAAAAACAACAATAAACAAACAAACAAACAAATAGCTTTTATTGCGAAATAATTAACTTTGTTCCTTTTGGTGTTAATGATTAGATTGATCACACAAGCAGTAGTCAATTTAAACAGCATTGTTTTTAAAGAATTTATTTTAAATGTATAAAGTTTAATGATTTTTAATGTTGGAAAAAATTTTTTGATACATCAATTTCAGTAAAATCATGTATTTTAAGGGTACAGTGGATAATTTTTTGGCTGCCGGTCATTAAAATATTAATGTAGTCATAATATAATAGTAATATCAGGGTAGAAAAATATATTTTATTTGTAATATCACCTATTGAAAGCAGGTGATGAGAGAATG